GTGGGTTGGTCGGGTTGGTTGTGGAAAGGTGGAAGAGAGGGAGAGAAGGGGGTGGGGGGAAGTTGGTTGGATTGACAAGGGAGAGGGTTGTTATGAGTGGTGTGTGGTGCGTGGTGCGTGGTGTGTGGTGTGTGGTGATGGGATTGCCGATGGAGGCTGAAGTTCGATCCGCGATGACACCGCAAGCGAAGACACATGCACACGCCACCACCACCATCGCAACCGCCACCATCACCATCACCATCACCATCACTGCGCACCTTCTGCCACTTTGTGGAGACGTGTTTCCAGTCGACGATGGTGCCGGCCTCAAAGAACGGCTCATCGCCACGCGCCAGCTCTCCTGTCGGAATGGCAACCTGCAGCCGCACGCGGACATGTGGGTGAGTGTTTGTGTTTGTGTATGTGTGTATGTGTGTGTATGTGTGTATGTGTGTATGTGTGTGTGTGTGTAGGTGAGAGTGTGTGTGTAGGCCATGAGAAGACACAGAAGCCGCAACCAGCAATGTGTGCGTGCGATGCGATCAAGAGCACGTGCGTCGAAAACAACACGCATTGCTGTGTACTCACGCATGGTTCGTCGTTGCCACAGCGCCCACCGAGAATTCGTCGCTCATCCGTGTACAGGCACACTGAGCACGTGGAGAGAGTGGGGACAGGCAAACACGCACAGTTGCAGGTGAGAACAAACACAAAGGTGCCTGGATAAAGGCAGGCGCATTTCAGTCGCCGCACATCCCACATGTGCGCAAGCAAGCGCATGTTGCACGCCTGCGCCAGCAAGCACGACCTCTCTGCTCCACAACCTTCCCTCACATCCCACCACCACCACCGCCGCCGCCATCACCACTACCGCCACCACCTTCACCACCACCACCATAGGCTCCTCCCCTCCTCACCAAACTGGTCTGGGCCGTCCCAGAGCGGGTCGCTCGGCGGGCGGGCAATCTCTGCATCGCTGACGATTGTGCCCACACCCTGGCCAACAGGGGCGAGCACGGACGCCGCCTTGTGCTCCTGCGCGAAGATGTAGTCTGGGCCAAAGCGCTTGTACTGGTCAATGGTCATGTACGCGCCAATGGCGCCATCCTGTGGTGGTGAAGGCGGTTGTGGGATTTGAGGTGATGATGGTGGTGGTGGTGAAGCAAGGGTGAGGATGGAAGCAGGGGTGAGGAGAAGCGACGGAAGCGGGGATGTGGTGTTGCATTTGGAACGATCAAGTGGATATGTCGGTTTGAGCACACACGAGCCAAGTGCTGAGAAAGTGACACGCAGCAGACATGAACACCCGCATTTTCACACGCACACACACACACACGCACATCTACGCCGAAGTCGCACCTCGATGACTGGCTTCTCGTGGACGGCTGTGGAGAGAGAGCCGATGATAGAGAGACCAATCCACGTGCTGAGCTTTCCTTCCGTTGCCGTCGACTCAACATGCACTTCATACTCGTCATCCTATCCATGACGCAAGCGCGAATGTGAGGTCACGTGTGTGTGTGTGTGTGTGTGTGTGTGTGTGTGTGTGTGTGTGTGTGTGTGTGTGTGTGTGTGTGTGTGTGTGTGTGTGTGCGTGTGTGTGTGTGTGTGTGTGTGTGTGTGTGTGTGTTCATGCGTTCCCGCTCACACCAGAACAGTTTGTGGTGTGCTTTGAGTGAAAAGAAACCAGCAGGTGCACAGACGATAGCAGCGCCGCCATGCTCACCGCGTCGTTGTTGTGGTGTTGCAGACTGGCCGTCAGGTGGGCCTCCAAGATGGCATCAAAGTTTTCTGCGGCAGCACAAGATACAAGTATGAACAGTGATGCGCGTGAACGCGATGTAAGTGAACGTTGTGCGTAAGCAGGAACACACACACACACACACAAAGACACAAAGACACGCACAAACACACAAACATACAAGACACACACACACACACAAACACACACACACACCGTCTCTGTGTCACCAACCTGGGCATGCGCCACTGAGGATGACGCGTTTGGCGAGAATGCGATGGACGTCTTTGTTGCACTTGATGATGGACTGGAAGACCGTCTGGTGATTTCACAGCAGCACGAACAAGGGGCCAAGAGTACATGCAATGAGCTTGTACAGCCAAATGTTGTCACACATAACACTCACACAAGCACAGTACACGCACTAACACATGCACAGAACACAACACAACACAACACAACACAACACAACACAACACTCACTCCCGCACCTGACAGCATTACCTTGATGAGGACTTGCAGGACTTGTGGGTTTTTGAGGTCGCGGCTGCCAAAGGGAAGACGAAAGAGGCCATCCTCCAGCACGCGCATACGCACAACGGGGGCGATGCAGGCAGCAGCGTCGTCCACATGCACGACCACGCCCGTCACTGCGCCGTTGCTCATGAGGGCGGCAATCCAAGGGTTGGTGAGGAAGATGGCCGGCACCTTCAGCTGCTGGAAGAGCAGGCTCACCAGCGTGGTCACGTTCTTTCGCGTGCTGAAGACCTGCGGCAT